ACAAGGCACCTGTAACCTTGGTGGGTCTCGTCACTGCAGATGATGAGTCTTGCTATAGAGAGGAGGTAAATCTGTTGACAAAATGGTGTAAGACAAACGATCCTTTATTGAATATTAGCAAGACAAAAAAGATCAGTATTGACTTTCGAAATGGGCATAGTCAGCATCAACCATTGATCATAGATGATGCTTTAGTGGAGAGGGTGAGCAGGACCACATTTTTGGGGGTATATCTCACTGAGGACCTTTCTTGGACCACTACAGCATTAAACTCAACAACGCTTATATGTTTTTTGCGTAAACTCAGACGTGCGGGCCTCCGTATTCATTCTGAGAACTTTTTATTGTGGTACTATTGAGAGCATTATTTCCAGTGACAATACAGTGTGGGTGGAGATTACACTGTTGCCCGTAGAAAGGCTCTAGAGCGTATCGTAAATACAGCTGGGAAGATAACTGCTGTTCCACTTCCATCACCGCAAGATAAATACTCTAAGTGACTTACTCGCAGAGCGACCACGATTGAGAATGACGGAAGTCATCCAGCACATTACATGTTTGAAGGTCTGCCCTCCGGGAAGAGGTGCAGAAGCCTTCGTGCACGCACCACTAGACTGTCGAAGAGTTTCTCCATCAGGCAGTGAGGAGGCTGAACTCTCTCTCACGAGCGCCATCAATCTAAGCAGTTAATTACACAAGAGCCGTTTTTAAATTGTATATGGTAGTATGTGTATATGGGATTTTTAACAGTAATGTGTTTTTATGGATAATGGAAACACTTTTTATTACTACTTGTTCTTAATTATTGTGATGTGATGTTTTTAAGCCATTAGTTTCACCGGGAGACGGCGAGAAAAGTAATTGTGATGTTTTTGTATGTCTGTACATATGATGGAACTGACAATAAAGGAGACTTTGACATTAAACCCTTCCCACACTCGTGCAATATTATAAACAATGTTTCTAAACTCTAAACCAGGGGTGCCCAAAGTGGGGCCTGCGGGTCAAAGTTGGCCTCCCAAGCTGTCCTCATTACTATATTAAAATTTCCTTTGAAGAATCAATGTGCTTACACTCACTGACTTTATTGTTAGTCGGCCTGACTACCATAATTTAACTACATGGATTACACAGTAGAGTCGATAATTTATGTATTTTTAAAATAACTTTAATTGATATTATTACATTTCATTTTGACAGACTATCATCCCTCAGCAGTTTGTTGCCACTGAATAACATTTTCCTTTGACATGAACACACTTATAAATCACAAAGTGTTTAAAAGTAAATTGTACATATGAACTGGTTTCAGTGGTGATTTGAGACTCTTTAAATTTAAACTCAGCACCCCTGGAAAATAAAGAAATCATTAGGAAACAGTTCTCAAACCTTAGATTCACCAAAATATTGAATAAATATGGAATAAATGACGACAGTCTCAAACGGGCCAATAAAATCTATGATTGTGTTTGGCACGAGTCCCGCCACCTGTCAATCAATCCAGTAGGCATGTCAGCAACTGACCAATCAGCAACCTCGATTTGTCCTGAAGTGAACACCCCTTACCTGCAGAGCTGCAGCGTGTTGCATTAAGAATGATTTGCACTCAGAGATTTCAAGAACAGTTTACACATTTTGTTTCATGTTCATCTACTGTAATAAACCTTTGTAAATTACACCAGAATGCAGGAAATTACATCTACTTTAATCTAAATTCTCCGAGGAGGAACCCCCACCACCACCTTCTGTGATGTTCTTTATACACAATGGAAGGATAAATAACTGTAATAAATAAATGGACTTTAAAGAAATGTTTGATTTCATGTATTACTGCATTTGGCCCACAGCTCTCTGATAGACTTTAAATTTGGTGCTCTCAGGGTAAAAGTTTGGGCACCCCTGCTCTAAACGCTCTAAAAGAGCACACCCTGCCTCCTCTGTCACCTGCAAGCGCTCTCGGCCACGCCCACTTCTCCGCTCTGCAGGAGAACAGCTGATCAGCTGCAGGAGGAAGCTTTTTCTGCAGTAAGGACTGCAGAGAGGTGCTAAATAATTTAAAATAATTTATTTTAAATAAAAATTTCATGCCGATTGTGCGGCTCATCCATCAATCAGCCAATTGTGCGTCATGTCCAATCTTATTTTGAAAAACCGCGATAGGGCGAGTCCACGATAAACGAACCACGAAGTAGCGAGGGACTACTGTACTCGCGTGACTGGGACGATATGGGATTAAAATGGGTGTGGAACGTAACCCCTGCGATAATCCGAGACTACTGTACACTTCAAATGAAGCGTTGAAGAGTTAAAAGTTAAACTTAAACACTAAAACTGTGTTTTATTGATGGAATAATTTAGTTTTACAGTGGATCTAAGTTAAGAAATGGAAACAGCTTTAGCAGAAAGTGTCAGGGTTGGTTTTAAAGTAACTTCTAACATTAATTATATTTCAGTAAAACCACCGAACGTTTGTTTCTCATCCGATTTAGTTTGAACCAACCAGCAGAGGTCAGGTGTAACGAGAGGACGGGCTCTCACCTCCAGGCTGAAGATCTCGTTGTAGCAGTGAGAGTTCCTCAGATACCAAGAGATATCCAGCAGGACGGGAACGTTTGGACAACTGTGAGACAAAACTGGAGACACAAACACGAGTGAGTCCACTGGAGCCTTCAGACGAGTCAGAAAGACACGCGGGACCAGGAGGACTCGGACCTTTCAGGTGGATGGCGCTGCTGTTGAACAGAGTCTTTTTGAAGACCAAGAACTGCTGATTATTCTCCAGAGCTTGCTGAAATAATTCAAGAGAAGAACACAATTCAGCTTCTTCACGCTACATTTACAAGACGAGTCCACGGCGACATTATTTATTCAACGAAATCTAAACGAGGAGCCAGCGAGAGACAAACTGAGAACTGAGTCCACCCTAAACTTTAACTGTGACAGGGACCACCTTCAAAAACCAGCAGGTTCTGCTGCTCTGGAAGATGTGTGGTAGTTCAACGCCAGGGCAGAAAGACATCAGCAATGACCTCAGAGAAGTGGCTGTTGATGCCCAACAGCCTGGGGAAGGTCAAAGGTCATTTAAAATGCTCCATAGTCCATTGTTCAATAGAGACAAGTGGAAAATATTTCAGACTGACAATCTGCCCAGCAGGTTCATCCCGAAGGTCAGACTGTGCAGTGCTCAGTAAGATGAGCTCCATGTCAGAACACACGCCTCAGTTACCTGGTTAAAGGTCAAAGGTCACGGGAGAATTCTAACAAGGTCGAGTCAGGTCCTCTGGACGGATTCTTCTTGTTGAAACATTTCATCTTTCATCCAAAAGACTTCTTCAGTCTGAGGAGCTGCAACCTTGTCAGATTCATCTACCTGGATTAT